ACTCACACCAGAGGTTTAAAAAACAGATAATGAAAGAAATCCAAAACCATGAAGTTAAAATATACAATTTCCAGAAACAGATGATGAAGGAGAAAATAAGCTTATTAAAAAGACTTTCAATGCCCTCATCATTCTCAAAGCATTTCCTCTGCACTTAAACCCCCGGCAATGCGCTTTACACAATTGATATGTGTATGGATTGTGATGAGTTGTATGAGCCCCTAATAAAATGATTTAAAAAATAAAATAATCATGATAAATAATAACAGATGCACAGAAAAATAAAATAAATAAATAAAAATCAAAAGATAAAAGGCCATTTACCTCTTGCTGTGGTAAGTAGTAATACTATCATTGAAGTCAATGGCAAAAGGGTTAGAGGAAGGCAATATCCTTGGGGTTTTGCTAAAATTGAAAATGGTGAATATTGTGACTACAATTCTAAGAAATATGTTGATAAGAACACACATGCAGGACTTGAAAGATGTCACTAATAATGCACACTATAAGAACTACAGAAACAGAAAACTAGCAGCTGTGATTTATAATGGAGTTGAGAACGACAAGAATAAAGGACAATTCACAAAGAGCTCTCTGGCACAAGTGGAAGACGAAAGAAGGGAGCATGTAACCAAGATGAAGATGGAGATGGAGATGGAGATGGAGCAAGTGTTTGAGATGAAGGTCAAAGAAAAAGTTCAGAAATTGAAGGATTCTGAAGCTGAACTCCAGAAGCTTATGAGCGTCATGATCAAAAGAAAAAGAATTTAGAAGCACAGCCCAAATATTTAGAGGGAAAAGGATTTCAGTTTGAGGATGAGAAAACAAACTGAGAAGCTCAACAACATATATTAGAACAACAGAACTCTTCGAGAACCTTGACCACCAGTTATGGGTTAGTTGCCAGTATGCCAGCTTGGACATCAGTGTTTGTTGAATGGATCCATTTGACCAATTTGCACCAGTTTTATCCATAATGATGGATTTAACAGCATGACAAAATTTTTGTTGTTGTTCTTGATGGAAATTAAGACACCATAAATTGTCTAGGGTTATTGTGTACTCAGAAAGTAACAACTTCAGGTCCCTTTTCCTGCTTCTCTATTTTTTATTAAACAGATGTTTCAATTTAATGCAAGAGAATATATTGCTGTTATACAACCATGTTCAGGTGGTTTAATTGCTTACAGGCTAATCCAAAATAAAAGGACTTTGCAACGTTTTCATTGAGGATAAATTGCCGTAAATAATATGATGCAAACTCTGCTTCTCTGTGGTGATTATAATGCAGAAGTTCCATTAAGTACAGACAATAATGCATTAGAGTTTAACACAGTTGACCCTATTTTTGACACTTCCATTGTTTAAAAATACACATGGAAAAACAAAAAACCTATATGCTTACAGAGTATCTAGAGATTTATAACAATAGTTTTTGGCTTTTTGTTTTGGATTCTTTAAATATATATTATTCTTATTCAGTACCCTCTTTAGCCAGAACCTCACACACACATGCATAATCTCTTTTTGTAATAACATTTAGATGTTTTCCGTATATTGATGCTGCTAAAATAAAATATAGCATCTTTCATATGTTGGAAACAAACAGGGAACTTTACTTTAACTCCCTTTTTATACTCCACGGCTAAATAGTGGGGGGGGGGAGGGGGAAGAGGTATGAATTTACAGATCATCTCTAGACAAATTTGTGAAGCTAATGATCAACCTCTTTCAACCTATGTGCAGTTTCTTTATTTTACTAGATAAGGGAATCATGGCCTCTTAAAAGGGAAAAAAGGAACCATATATTGCATTTCTGTATTTTTGTTTGTGTTTTAAAAATTCACATAATAAACAATGTTGTGATGTTAAAAAAAGACTTGTAGCCATTAGAATTGCACATGGATGTAGTTATTTTTATGACTGACAAGAGTGCCAAATTTTATGATTTCGAAGTTTTTATTTGATACTTTGGGTTTTCCAGAGACGCATTCTGTTGTTAATGATAATTTTGTCTACTTTCTACTATTTACACAGCTTATATTGCTGTCCTTAATAGGCTTATGTGAATTTAATATATGATAATGGTATAATTTAAAATCAGTTGAGGGGATACAATTCTTGTTATTAGTATAGGGATGTGTGATTATAATTGTGTAAACTAATAAACCTGAATCCATACCTCACTCCTGATTCAAAAACAATTTTTGAATAATCAATATTTAAATTAAAAAAATAAAATCATAAAAGGACTTGGAATAAGCAGGGATTGTTATAATATAGGAGTGTAAATAACATCTCTTAGCACAATGCAGAAACCAGATGTGATGAAGGAAAAAACTAATACATTTAATTAAGTAATTGTTAAACTCTTTTGTACAGCAAAAATGATAAATAAATTCATAAATAACACAAAAATATTTATATGTGACTCATGAACATTTAAGAAACATTGCTGGTGGGAATATTATTTCATGTACCTCTTTGGGAGTATGTTGACAAATTGTATTCAAATAAGAGACTTTTTATAGCAATTGAATTTACAAAAATACTACAAATGACACAAATTTATTATATGTGAAATAGAACCATGATAGACAGTGTTGGTGGGAGTATTAATCATTTTAATCATTTGAGGGAGTAAGCCTATAAATCTTATATCAAAATGAAAAGTTTTTTTTCTAGTGTTTGATTTACCAATTCCATCTCTAAATACTTATTCTACAGATATAAATATTCTCCGGAAAAATAACAGATATAAGGATGTTCTTTGTAGCACTATTCATAATAGTAAAAAGAAAAAATTGGAAAAAATATGTCTATGAATTCTGGATTGGCTAAATAAACTATTGGACTTTGAATACTGCATGAAAGTTTAATATCAGGAAGTGTGTGCCAGGGTTGTTTTCTTTCACCATATTTATTCAATCTGTATACTGAGCAAATAAATTTAGAAGCTGAACTATATGAAATAGATCTTGGTATCAGGTTTGGATGAAGGCTCATTAACAACCTGAGATATGCAAATAATACAACCTTGCTTACTGAAAGTAAAGAGGAATTGAAGCACTTCCTGGTGAAGATCAGACTACAGCCTTCAATACAAATTACACTCAACCTAAAGAAAAAAATCTTCACGGATGGACCAATAAGCAATATCATGATAAATGGAGATAGATTAAAGTTGTCAAGAATTTCATTTTACTTGCATTCACAAACAATGCTCATGGGAGCACCAGTCAAGAAATCAAATGACATTGCATTGAATAAATATGTTGCATAAAACCTATTTAAAGTGTTAAAGAGCAAAGATATCACCGTGAGGACTAAGATGCCCCTACCCCAAACTAGGGTATTTTCAATCACTTCATATGCATACGAAAGATGGACAAAGGATAAAGAAGACTGAAGAACTGATGCCTTTGGATTATGGTGTTGAGGAAGAATATAAATATACCAAAGACTGCCAGAAGAACAAGCACATCTGTGTTGCAAGAAGCACAGCCAGAATGCTCCTTAGAAATGAGAATAACAAGTCTTGTCTCACATACTTTTCATGTTTTCAGGAGAAACCAGTTCCTGGAGAAGGACATTATCCTTGGTAAAAGTAGATGGTCAGTGGGGGTGGGGTAGGGAATGACTCAAAAGGTGGGTTGACACCAAAGTCGCTGCCACAGAATTGATTCTAATTTACTGCGCCTGTGGGTTTTCAAGATTATAACTCTCTATAGGAATAGAAAACCTCATCTTTCTACCCTGGTGGTTTTGAACTGCTGACCTTGAAGTTAGCAGCCCAATGCAGAACCACTATGCCACCAGAGAGGCTGCGATAATAGGTTCAAGCATTGCACAACTTGTGAGGATGTGGCAGGACCTTTTTGTTATGTTGTATTGACTGATAGCACTACCAACATAAAAGACTAGATTACACAGTTGTTAAGAAATCTGTGCACTAATACTGAAAAATGTTCAGACTACATAGCTAGAAATAAACAAGCAAACAAAGGCAACCTTTTGTGGAGAGAAAATTCAAATAAGAGGAGAAAAATTGGAAATGGTGGTGTATCTCACAATATTAATAGAGGTTATTTCCAGAGGGTAAGGAGAAGGTAATTATTCAAGAATATATTACATATTTCTGTATTATTTGAATTTTCACAATAATAAACATTACCTTTGTAGTAAGAGAAAAATAAAGTTATAAAAAATTAATGTAATGAATTAATCGCTTTAAGGAGTGATTTTAGTTGAAAGGGCTTCAGATCAAGCATGGTACAGTGGCATAAACACTGGCTTTGGCGTCAGACAACCCGGAGCAGAGCCCCACTGCCCCACCTCCAAGGAGAGCGAAGGGAAGGGGGTGGGGAGTAGCAGGGGGCTGCGGAAAGGGGCTGGGCTGTGCTGTGCTGGCTGCAGCTCTAGTCCAGGAGGCTGAGACTTCTAGAAGCCTCCTAGAGAGGGAAGACGGCTCCTGGACTCACTCAAGGACAAGGTGAGTGGAATAGCTATTGGGGTGCCCTGGCAGCCAGACTGTGATTCTAGTCCCTTCTAACCCATAGCCAGGCAGGTGGGCAATTCTTACTGGACCACGGCAGCTGAGGGAGAGGTGACCTGAAGTGGGGGTGTAGTCAACAAGGACGCTGAGAAAGTAATAGGCTGCGTGGACTGGGAAGCAGAGACTAAGGAGGAGAAAAATGGGGAGTTTAGCATGTCGAGTTAAGAGCCCGGGACATGAAGAAGAGGGGAAATGCAGATTCTTAGGAGGTGTAGACAGAGGTTAGAGAATAATGGGGTATGGGAGCACCTAGGTATCGCCGAGGGAGATGTAGGTAATGGAGTTAGGCAATTTGGTGGGGTAAACAAAATGCAACGAGGAAATAAGGAGTTTAGCAAAAGGAGGAATAAAGAATGAGGGAGCAGGTGGGGGAGGGGAAGATGGGCTGGAACGGAGGCCCCCAAGGGAGGCGGAAAGGGGCGGGACTACTTCCGGCTAGGAGGGGGTTGGGCAGTCTCTGAGTTTCTGAGGGGCTTGGAGAGCGCGCGGTCGCATTCAGGGTTTCTAGGACAAGGTGAGTATCGGGGCACAGCTTTGGATGGGAGTCCAATAGAGATCAGCCTCACTCTCTGGGAGCTGAAGAAAAATCTGCCTGAAGGAACAGATCTTACCAGATCTGGATGGCTGGGAACGGAGGGGACTGATCCGGTTTCCTTGGGCCTAAGATGGAATCACTAGCTCAAAACTGAGGTGAGGGGTGGGTGTATTAGGGAAGGAAGAGAGCTAAGATATGCTTTGCCTGGGCTGGGTCAGGGTGTGGTAGGAAAATGGGTCACGGGACCTGACGGCTCTGTGCACTTGGTGCAGTAGGTACGTGCTGGGTAGCGGCTGCCGCCACCAGTCACTGCTATTGGTGGGAGGGAAACTTGTTAGGGAAGGGGCGGGACCGTATGGTACTGGGGACCAGAAGAGAGGCGTGTGTTGGGAGAGGGTGCTGGATTGACACCATACGCATGCGCACTGTGGATCTTTTGAAAGGGGCATGTAGGGAAAGGCCAGTCTGGCAAGGCGCCAATTGCCAAATGCGCATGTGTACAGTGGACATCAAAGAAAGGGCTTATGCAGGGACAGTGGGCAGAGCTGTTGTGCCTCCCTCCGCCCTCCAGCAGACGCGCATGCGCACTGTTGACCTTAGGTTGGGAGTGCTTTGGGAAAAGAGGCGGAGTCCACAGCTGCCGCGCTGGCAAGTCTTCCTGGAGAAAGGAGGGTGTGGCTGCGCAAGATTCAGAGTTTGGAGCAGTGGTTCTCAACCTTCCTAATGCCACGACCCTTTAATACAGTTCCTCATGCGCACTGTTGACCTTAGGTTGGGAGTGCTTTG